AAAAACAATCTCTTTTCCTGATACATTAAAATAAGGGGTTTCTGGTGTAATAACTTGTTGATCAGCAAATTTTTTAAAATTTTACCCTAAATCAGAAATCATTACTTTAACATTAAAAGAAATACTGGATAATTTTTGAATACAGTTAAAAATTATACTTTGCAAATCATAACCAAAACAATTAGACGCAACAAAAAAGTAACATAGAGGCAGCTTCCAAGTATCATGCAAGCCACGAATCATAATTACCATTACTGACCTAGCTAGCTCATGTGTTTTGATGGAGCCAGTGTTATGGAATCCAATAATTGTATCTTTAACAGTGTTATAATAAAGAAAAGCTTTAATAGACATCTCTTCTACACATAAAACACATTCTTTACTCTTTGCAGACATGGTAATACCTTTTAAAGTTAACACTTTGAACACCGAGTCACTGAAACCAGGATTTATTTCCCAACGTTCAGTGACTCTTTGTAAAGTTCTTATACTTGGCAAATTAAAAGTTGTTTTAATTAAACGATATACTTTAGGCCCAAGTAAATGTATTTTAAGTGCAAATTGTTTCACTGAAAGAGAATACCGGAAACCTTTCGATGATTTTATATTTAAGGACGGTTGTGATTTAACAAACTTAGCGATGCCAGGCCTTAAAAGTGTATCACATAACTCATGGAAATCTTGAATTGTGGGATGCTTTGCTCTATCTACAGATTTTTGTAATTCAGTGAATTGCCTAAGTCCTTATACTGATCATCTTTATACTTCATACTTTTCCTAAGTTTACGTTTTCGTGGGGTATCTGATGATAATTGTAACGATGTTTGTGTCGAAGTCATTGAATAAGAGCTACTTGTTGATGCTAAAGACAAATTTGAACTACTTAAGTTACTTTGGTATTTAAGTGATAATGGAGTTGAACAACTTTTAATATCCATTTGTGATACATCAGTTGGAATTTCAGTATAATTAAAACATTCTTCGTCACAAACATCTGTTACAGTCATCATAGATACTTGTTCTCAGAAGTTGCGGTTTCAACGTTGAAAGTGACAGTATCAAGCTCTGCATTGTTTTGCTTCTTCTTTGAGAGCATAGCACCACTGATAAGACGCACTTGCTGTCGTCCCACCGATGAAGATGTAAAGCATGTAGCTTCAAAATGTTCGGAACAGACTCTTTGAAACTGAACATTACAATTTATCAGGTCATTCCGACCAATTAAGGATGCCCATTGATTACACCTAAAACATCACATAATACCGTATAGCTTATATAATTTAAATGCACTTAAATGTTTATACAAAATACTGTAATATGGAAATACTGAATACAATAATAATAAAATATATAACCCAGTAATAACGATGGTACGTGTGCGTTATCAACTTCCACACACGAACAAGTACCATAACAACAAACTTTTCTTCAAAAGTCAAAAATTCTATAATATTAGGTACCTACATAAAGAATAATATAAATTAATAATACTATTTGTACTTACTCATCAACGTTCTTCGGAAACCTGAAAAACGAAACCTTGGATTGTTTCTGTCCACTCTTGTTGTAACAAAACGATGCAGCGCACGTCATAACCATGATTATTTAATTATTATTTATAATTATAATTACTAATAATAATTAAAATAAAAATAATTTTTGAACGCGTAATTCAAAAAATTGTAAGTTAATAGTTGTTGTATTATATTTGTAGGTTATAGGATCAAAACGTAAACAAACAACAAACCGTTTATTGTAAAAAAAAATTGTTCACAACAACACTTCTAAACCACCAGGTAATCATTTACAACATCAACACCAAACCACCAGACATCGGTCACCAAGCAGAGTGTCGCTTCTGTATTGTTCTGTGGTACCAGTGTGTCCAGCGATTGTTGTCCTCAGTAGGTAGCCGAGTTCAGAGTACCAACGATAGTGACAATAATATGACATACTCACATAAACATATATTCCCAATAATTCTATTTTTAAATACCTACAGCGATAACAAAATATATCCCTACACACCTGGTCATATGCCCCCACTTATCATGTCCGTGGTGGTAAACATGATAGGCAGGTGACGAGCCCCAACGCTTAGTTCAAAAAAATAAAAAAAAAATATTCTTGTAGACACTATAAATAGTACAAATTACCACTCAATGTAATTTTAGGCCGAGAAGACTATGAGTCCTTTACATACGTGGCGTTAAATTAAATATTACTGAAGTTTTAATCATCAAACCTAGTACCTACCTATAATTAGCATTGATCATAAATACTATAGATCGTTAACTGGTCCGTATTACGAGACGCGAAATATTGACGAAAAATGATGTGGCCGTTAAGAAGCGCTGTCGTCGCCCATTAGTTTCTTATAGTATTTATAATCAATAATATTAGTAAGGGACATACTAAACAACTATCAGACTATCTGCAAATCATTCTAATATTACCTAACTACCTAGAGCTACCTATTCCTTGTGGCTTCTGTGTATTGTGTATTTGTGTATTTGGATGCTACAAGGTAGCAGAGGCTACAACGGTTTTAAAAAATGTATTAAATATTTTTTAATATTAATTTAATTACATATTAGTTTCACAATAAAGAATTTTTTCTGGATAATTATATCTCGTGTACATTTGTCTTATATCATTTTTAAGGGTGGATGCCATAAGTGTTATTAAATACACATGGAGGCCACAAGCTACGAAATACGAGTATGTGGACTCACTCAGTGATTATGTTCATGTGACTAGATATTGTTAATAACAGCAATAACACTATGGTACTATCATACTTTCATCATCCATGATCCAAATGTGTGTAAACAAGTAATTTGCTTACTCTATAATGTAAACATGTTTATAAATATCTTCAAAATCTGAAATGTTTGTATAATCATAAGATTGAGAAACTATTACTGAAATCAAACTATGTTTATATACTCGGGCCACTCTAAGAGCGGTCTGGGTGGCAACCAAAATTCGTTCGTTCTCGCGCATTCCCACCACTAAACTCTTCAAAACACTAGCCGCTGTTAACGCGAGCCGCCGACACCGTCGCCGCCAGCGTTGCCGTCGCTGCTCCCACTCACCTACGCCACCGCCGACCGGGAAACGGTGACAGTGTTTGTATACAGAGCGTACTAAAGTGTTCTGATTCTTTTTTACGTTCTTAAATACACACACAACATTTTTGTTTTTTGCGCTCTAAGTTTGTTTACATACTTTTGGCGTGTCTTAACACACCGTTATTTTTTCATTTTTTACGTTTTTTTTTTTAAAAATACAACATGGACGTCGCAGATGAGTCGCCTATCATAAAATATCCAAGTGGAAAAGTAAGCGTTTGTATTATTATTTTTCTAATGCAAAATTTTAATTTTAAAATATCGATTTTTTCTTTAGTATATTGGCTCTGGTCAAAGGAAAGTGGTCGTTATTCTGTACAACGCTTTAGTTAAAAGAGAGCTTGAAAATCCAGACAGCCCCCAATTGACCTTCAGACAAACGATCGTCGACATTTCAAAATCAACGGGTCTCGGACAACGTACAGTACAAATAACGTTGTCGGAGTATAAAAATCAAGGTACAGTTTTGTCACCTAACAAGAAGAGAAAAACACCTGCAGTAGTTGATGAAAATGCAATTCGGCAATTAATACACAATTTTTGGAGGAGACGTGAAGTGCCAACAATTACGAAAATTCTAACAGCCGTTAATGAGGATGAAACATTGCCGAATTTTAAACGTTCGTCATTCCAGAAGGTATTAAAAGATTTGCAATTTGAATACTTAAAAAAAAATCGTAACAGCGCACTTCTCGAAAGGGAAGATTTGATAAACTGGCGCCGTGATTATTTACGAAAAATAAGGCATTACAGATCGCAAAATCGACCAATATATTATTTGGATGAGACGTGGGTCAACACAGGTGAAACACACAGCAGAACGTGGATGGATACGACGGTAAAATCATCACGTGATGCATTTCTTAAAGGCCTAACCACATGACAAAAGGAACCCTCCGGAAAAGGTAAACGTCTCATCGTTCTACATATCGGGTCAACGGATTATTTTGTCCCGGGGGGCCTATTATGTTTCAAATCGAAAACCAATTCTACAGACTACCATGACGAGAGGGGAAGTCTAATTTACTGACCCAGATTTTGCTGACCGGAACAAAATTTCCCGACCCGGGCTCCTCGTTCCCCGACCGGGTTGAAATTTGTAAGGGACATACTTAGGAACGTAATCAATTATGTGTCCAAAGTTCAGCTGCCTACCACCATTACCCTCCCTACAGGGTGAAAAAATTATTAAAAAAATGTCGTTTTATTCTCCGACCCGGGCTCCTCGTTCCCCGACCGGGTTGAAATTTGTAAGGGATATACTTAGGAACTTAATCAATTATGTGTCCAAAGTTCAGCTGCCTACCACCATTACCCTCCCTACAGGGTGAAAAAATTATTAAAAAAATGTCGTTTTATTCTCCGACCCGGGCTCCTCGTTCCCCGACCGGGTTGAAATTTGTAAGGGACATACTTAGGAACTTAATCAATTATGTGTCCAAAGTTCAGCTGCCTACCACCATTACCCTCCCTACAGGGTGAAAAAATTATTAAAAAAATGTCGTTTTTTTCTCCGACCCGGGCTCCTCGTTCCCCGACCGGGTTGAAATTTGTAAGGGACATACTTAGGAACTTAATCAATTATGTGTCCAAAGTTCAGCTGCCTACCACCATTACCCTCCCTACAGGGTGAAAAAATTATTAAAAAAATGTCGTTTTATTCTCCGACCCGGGCTCCTCGTTCCCCGACCGGGTTGAAATTTGTAAGGGATATACTTAGGAACTTAATCAATTATGTGTCCAAAGTTCAGCTGCCTACCACCATTACCCTCCCTACAGGGTGAAAAAATTATTAAAAAAATGTCGTTTTTTTCTCCGACCCGGGCTCCTCGTTCCCCGACCGGGTTGAAATTTGTAAGGGACATACTTAGGAACGTAATCAATTATGTGTCCAAAGTTCAGCTGCCTACCACCATTACCCTCCATACAGGGTGAAAAAATTATTAAAAAAATGTCGTTTTTTTCTCCGACCCGGGCTACTCGTTACCCGACCGGGTTGAAATTTGTAAGGGACATACTTAGGTACGTAATCAATGAAGGTAAATACTGTCTATGTTTTTTCATATTTAATATCGTTCAATTGTTAAGTTTGGTACTACGTCAATACCATTTTGTAAATAGTCTATGTACCTAAGCTTCATAGGAATAATTTTAATTTATAATCTGATATATTTAGTTTAATTTTTGAGGATGCTAATTCTGAATCTATGTGTACCAAGCAATACTTACAGTCACTCTATACCCTCTATATTGGCTAATAGACTAATGGCTATAGCCTATAATTATTCAATAGTTTATTTTCAATATTTTTGTACGTAATAGAATTTTCATGATGTAAATATTTTGGAGCCAGGGGGTCCACCTACCCACCTACCAAAAAAATCCGGGGTAGCAACTGCTACCCTTGAACCCTCCAGTGTGCGCCACTGAATGGCAATAATGTTTATCTAGGTATATTGTAATTATGACACACATTATATGAAGCTGTTTAGCTGTACCTACAACTAATAACTACCTATATTACCATTATCCAGTGTTTGGAAAGAACCTCGTTCATGAATGTACGTTCACGTTCATAAATAGTGAACGATACGTGAACGTCACTCGTTTTTTTTTTAAATAGAACGTGAACGTGAACGACGTTTATATTTTTAATGAACTTGATCGATTTTTCTGACGTTTGATTTATTTACCATTTAATAAATATATTTTAAAATATATTAATTAATCATATTATTATAATAATATTTTCCAATATAGTTCCTATGATATATTTTATTTGAATACAAATTAAAAAAATTAAAATACGCGAAATTCCAATGGGCCTGGCTTGTCATACAACAACAATAATATTATGATTTCCACTAATATTTGTAATGACTAATGAACCTAATCGGCTCTTAGTAATTTAATAATTACTGGGAAAAAAAATTAAATGAACGACCCAATAAACGCGTTCATTTTTTGAATGAACGTGAACTTGAACGCGTTTGCTTGAAAAGAACAGGAACGTGTGTGTGAACGAGTTCCTTTTTTAAAAACTGAACGTCGTGAATGTGAACGAATTCATTTTTTAGTGAACGTTCCGAACACTGCCATTATGGCATTAAGTACTAATATGTTATACGTACTATCTTACATTATTAATATTGTAATTAAGTATTTTAATTACAGTAGGTAGCATTTTGATTAGCGTAGTACCCATCTTTAGTAATGTGTACGAAATACGTAAAATTATTAATATATCATATCACGTCGTGATAATCAGACATCAGTGGTACCGATATTACTAGTACCAAGTTATATATATCCTTGAGTATTTGGATTTTTCCACGCAAATTAAAATATTTTAAAACTTATTTTTCTATTCCTACATAATTAATTTTTGTATACCTACCTTATATTTTAGAAAACATTACATTTTTATTTTCGTAACATTAGTTAAAATACGGAGTTATATATTGTTATAGGACATACATTATAGGGGCCCTATACATATATATGTCACAGGGGGTGCCCAGGCACACCCGGAACCAACCATTCGCACGACTATAATCGAACCTATAATTCTTCATAATAATGCCTTTAATGTCGTTGTAAATAAATGATTTTGTATATTATTAATTATTTTGGTCGATTAAAATGTTTATATTATAATAATAATGTTTGCTGTATTTAAAATGTATAAAATATATTATTTGTGGTATTTTACAATCTATATTCGTCATAATTTATTGATATATCATATAATAAGAATTTAACACAATAGCCAGCGATGCAGTCCGACCGGCAGGCGACAGCGTTGTGCGTTTGTGTGTACGGCTCCATATTAGCATCGATAATATGTTATTATATTATATTTATAAATAAATATACTATTTTCATCTGTGGACTGAGAAATAGTATATTATAATTATATCATAATTTAATATTATTAGTTATTCTTTATTTGTCATTGACAACCCGAAGGAAGACGTTGTTCGGTTGACGATCCCAATCTTTTAAAGGTAAGTCTAATCCATATTTATTTAAAATTGTACAATAATTATTAGACCCTCATGACATACCTATATACAATTATCATTTAAATTAGTTTTATAGTTTGTAAATTATAATGACAAATTACAATAGTTTTATTACTTTTATTACGAGTATATATTACGGGCGTACCGATGTTGTCCCATTGTCTTGTGCCCACGAATGACTTCCTGAATAATATTTTTGAAATCTAGGTCATTTTTAAATAAAAACGTTGGTGCGTTTCCCTCGTCGGCATGGCGCGTGTGAATGTAACCAATGTAAGCTAAAAAGTCGCGCGCAAGATACTTCGAGTACGATACGCTTCCATGTGAAACATAATGTACTTGTAGGTACGGTTTCCCTTGCGCGATCGCGAACGCGATCTGATCTAAGATCGAGCATCATTATCACGCGTCTACTGAATACTGATACAATGTAAATTAAATACAGTTGGTTTTCCTTGCGCGATCGCGGTCGGCGATCTAAATTCGATTGTGGCGCGAACGCGAAGTGACTGCTTCATGAGCAGTCAAATCCCGTTCGCGTAGTGATTAATTTGTTATTTTGAAAGAAAATTATGATATGAGTGATGTACAGGAGAATGTAAACGATTATTATGTATAAAATTACACGTCACTGTTAAGTAAGATTCATTACAATCGGATGTCCACATGTCTGTGGTGATTGATAAATGATTCACATTTTAGAGTATTAATTTTAATTTTGATGATATAACATTATATTCTTGTGGTAGTAATTTTGTTGTTAGTAATTTTCTACTGGGAACAGAATACAATGATTGCAATTTTTTGCTCTATTAATAATTTAAAAATATAAACTTAATTACATTTACAGCTTATAGTATACTAGGGCTTACAGCCAGGGCTTCAAATCGTTATTTATAACATTATAACGAAAACTACGAATACTATGAAACATATTATATCATTAATCATAAAGATTATCAATAAACAAAAAACATATTTGTAACGTAAATAATTTAATAACGTTTTCAAATTTGTTTAAATAACTAAAAACAAAAAATCCATATATTCGATTCTGAACGGAGATAGGAATGTATTGATTTTACAATGATGTGTGTTTTTTTTTTTGTGTCTGACGACAACTTTTGGAGCAGTAAAAGTGCTTTGACTTTTTGACTCAGCCAGGGCCGTATTTGGACAATTTCCGCCCCGGGGCAACATATTTCCGCTGAATGGACCTATAATTAATTCCAAATTAATCATATCACATTATCACAATATTATCCATTAGGTACTTATAACATGTTATACATCTACATCAATAACAAACCCTGATACTATCATAGATATATAATAGTACACTTTAGAAGTTTCAAGTAGGTACCCACGAATAATATTATATAATCACAACAAAATAACTAGGTTTTTTAATATGTAATTTCGTCCAAATTTGAACATAAAATGACTATAAAAATAAACTGTGATTGTATATTTTTTAGATTTTTCGGTAAGAGAATTAACTACTTACGTGGAATCTTGTTTTAAATTTTCAATCCTTAGCTATAAAAACTGAACATTTAATAATTTATTAATTACGATGATTAATAATTTTCGAGATTTTGAAAAATTCTGTCAAAATTCGAAATAAATGCTTATAAAAAAAATTGTGCCTATGTATTTTTAATATTTTTCAACTGATATTGTAACAATATATCAGGAGCCTTGTATTAAATTTTTACACTTTTTGGCCCAACAGATAAAACTTAATTGATAATCATAGAAAAAAAGACTAAAAAAATTGAAAAATGAAAATATCCGTAAACAGCTCAAAAAGAGTCAAAATATTTTAAAAATTGTATGGTGTATAGGAAATGCTAATATAAACATTCAGTGAAATTTTCATGTATCTATAGTTATTCGTTTATGAATAACAACAAAATAAGGAAATCGCTACATGAGAAATCGAGCGAACATCCAATGTTGTAAAAATTTGAATTTCAAACGCTCATAAAAATTTAATTTTACTGTCCGGTAGAGATTTATTTATTGATAAAGGTAGACAAACTTATAAGTAATCTTGTATTACATTTTCAAATCTTAGATTTAAAAAGAAAAATTTTTGCGAATTCTTAACTCAAAATAATTTGCTAATTTTCGTGATTTTCGTGACTTTTGCATTCAACATTTCCTAACGATGAGTCGACGCCGTAAAAAAACAGTATACTGCTTGTAACAGTTCAAAAAAATGACAGGCTTCTTCACAACAGTTTTCTGCATAACTACCAACCAAATTTAGGGAGTGTGCAGCACACGGAGAATACTCAGCTAGTGGATTAACCTCCTTGATTCTTGCCGTTCTTACGTTCAAAAACCCAATCTATTTATAAATAGTATGTTAATAATATAATTTATATTATTTTCCGACCAACTGATGTTAACAATATTATACCTTTTCGATCTATAATAATGTTTTTAATAGAAGGTTAAAATTATGTAAATTTATTTATTTTTTCTCAACAGTTAATATACAATATTAATTTATCAACATAAATTTGCCGCCCCCTAAATGGACTAAACAATTTGCCGCCCCGGGCAACAAGGTACACTTGCCCCCCCCCCCTCAAATACGGCCCTGGACTCAGCCCCTTTTCTGATAGGAAAGTGAATCTAGTTGGTACTCTGGGGGGTCAAAAGTTAAAAATTGTCAATAGTTTTCAAAAGCGTCTAAAAAAACACTAAAAAAGTAACGGAAAAACGGGAATTTTTACGCAAAACCAGATTTCGACAAAATCGATTTATTTATTATGCTCTAACATAAAAACGAATCACTGTAAACACTTGACATTTTTACCAGTGGTTTATATTAATGTCAACTATAGACGATGAAATTTTCAAAATATTTTGATTTTTTTTGAGCTATTTATAGACAATTGAAATTTTCGATTTTTCTAAGTATTTTTTTTTAAATGTCTAAAAAAAATTTGGCCGCTAAAAAAATCTTGAAAATTTAATACAAAGTTTATTATAATTGGTTCTTATCGCAGTTGAAAAAAATCAAAAATCCTAAATCACAATTTTTTTTTCATAAGAGTTTAAAGTTCAAAATCTTAAAGGACCATACAACACAAAAATCATATATTTTTTTTTTGTCTATTATTATTATTACGAATTTGCATAAACAAAAAATGTAAATAAAAGTTGTCAACGGTGATTCGTTCTATAGTTACGGCGTTTAACAAATTACGCGTGACGTCATAAGATCCAACTCTACGGCGCACCGAGGCGGCGGCCGTGTATTTTTATCCGGGAAAGGTATAACGAGGTTTTATTTTCTTGAGCATAGGTAATATACCATATCATAATATTTTTTAATAATTATAATGAAGTTCTTATTATTTAATATATTTTTATTATATTATTGAAGCTACTCTTTTACGGGATACCTTCATTATAATTTTTCATAAACAGTTTTATTTTATAATTTTATTATTAAAATTAAAATTTTACAAATTTAGATGGTTTTTATACTAGGATTATTTCCGCAATTTTTCTTATGTTTTTTGGTACCGGACATAAAATTTAAAAATTAATGATTAATATTTCGTTTATTTTGTTTGCTAGTTTATTTTATAGCTTATAACAAAATATTTTTCTCTGTGAATAAGCTTTGAATTTTCATTTAACTTTAGATTGTGAAAATGACGCTGTGCTCTGTTTTTAATTGTAATGAAAGAAGTGAAAAGCAATCGTCATCTGGAGTTCATTTTCATGTGTTTCCATGTCATTCAAAATCACCTACTAGGTTTCGAAGTTGGGTCAATTATTGTAAACGAAAAAACTTTAACCCCGGTTATAGCGCGAGAATTTGTTCAAAGCATTTTAAGTCTGAAGACTATAACCAGTCAGATTTATTACGACAACAATTAATGCCCAATATAAAAGTCAAAGTAAAACTTAACACAAATGCTGTTCCTACGGTTTTTCAAAATATACCCTGCTCTACTTCAAATTCTTCAAATTCATCCGAACGAGAAAAAAGAAAAAGAAAAAAAAGAAATTATATCTTCTATAATGACAAGTACACCAAAAAAGTTAAAGCTTAGTGGAATAGCTGGTTGTGTGACACACAATGTTTTATTCAACAAACTAGTTTTAGACAAAGATGTTTTAAATATTTCTCGTCATAAAATGATTTTAAAGTCTAAAAAAAAAACAGAAAAAAAAAGTTTTGTGTAAAAGTGAACCACAAAATAAAGTCTGGCGATACTTGGCTTACAAACAGTTTATTTCGTGGATAAATGCATGGACAACGATTGGAAAGGGAAATAGGATAGTAATTCCATCATGTGTTATTTATAAAATATTATCCAGAAGAAAATGGTGTTTATGTAGGATTTCGGCCCAACGATAAACTTCCTACCTAATTTCTGTATTTCTAATTACTCGCTGTATGTACAAATATTATGTTTTTTTTTTTTTTAATGCAATACTTATAATAATACTAAATCAATTTAAATTGTTAACAATGTTTGTATACGTACTTGTTATAATAACAATAATAATAATAAGTTAATAAATAATAATGGTTAATACGTAATAAAATACATTGTTTTGTTACTCATATGAACCAGATATTATTCGTCTTAAATAAATAATAGCATAGCATAGTATCATATCAAAAAGATAATAATTACATATTTAGAAAAATTATGTGAAAAACAAAAGTATAGGAATCAAATTACTAAGAACAGTAAGAAGACACCCGATTAGTAACAGGCACGCGTGTACACGTTGCGGCCGCGAGTAGGATCTTATGACGTCACGCGTGATTTTAAAGACTTCGTAACTCGAAAACTATTTAACGCAGAAAAATATTATTGGTACCATTTTTTTAGTCAGATTTTTTGTGATTTTTAAAATAAAAGTCAATTTTGAGTGTTTTATGGTCCTTTAAGAAATATGTCAAAATCACGAAAATTTGCAAGTAATTTTGCAGTTGTAAATTCATAAAAATTGTTCCTTTTGTACCTAAGGTTAGAAATTTTAACACAAGGTTATCCATAGAATCTTCTTCAAATAACTATAAAAAAACTTGAGTATTATTTTAGAAAAAATTTTTATTAATGTTTGAAATTTAAACTCTTACGAAATTGCGTAAAATAACAATTTATTTAGTTTTTAGTAATATTTGTATATTATAAATTATGTTGTAATATATCCTAAACTGACAAAACATCTCCGTTCAGAATCGTTTTTCGTATACATTGATACCTATCATTGCATTCAAATTTAACACATGCATTATAGTGACCTACCCTAGACCGAAGTCCACCCCACCCCCTCTGCTGCAGAGCGAGTTCCCAATTTTTTTTTATATTAATGTCATATTTGTACAGTTAATATAACTGATAATAAATTCATTGGGTAGGTACACATATTTACATTTTAAGAATTTAATAATCAAATATTTATTGCTTTTTAAAATATTTTTCACTTTTAGCCTTACAAATAATTAAACTTTTGTCATAATCTTAAAAAATTAAAAATAATAATATTGATAAAATAAAATAAAATAAAACAAACTTAATTTTGTTTAAACTTTTTGACTTTTCTTGCTTTTAATGAAGCAAAGCTCTGTATAAGTTCATCTATGTCTAATTCTTCAGCAATTTCACTTTCATTAGAGAGAGTGGCTAATCCTACTAATTGGTCTTGAAATATATTTGATCGCAAATAATTTTTTAATATTTTAAGTTTTGAAAAACTCCTCTCGGCTGTTGCGGCAGTTACAGGAAAAGTCAATAGAATCCTTAGTATACATAAGTATTAGGGTAAAGTTCTATCAACTTGTTTCTACATATGTAGGTACGCAAGAACTGATTTCATCTTTAACATTATAATTTAATGTAATGTTACTGTTTATATAAATATAATTTATACATTTCATTGTACCTATAGGTAAGTTGGTTTTTAAAATTAAATTAAATTTTTTAAAATATTTTTCTTATAAACATAATACCGATAAAAAAAATAAAAATATTATGGGGACATTTTTAAAATACCACCCCTGTTACAGTGCCGTTCTAGGCAGGTGCCTAGCTCGCCTATACCTTGAGCCGGCCCTGGCTAAAAACCACTACCATAAATAATTATAAACACATTTTTCGATAATTTTAATGAACATAATATAACAACTCTTACAAATACACGAATAAATCAATACTTATACTATAAATTAAAAGCAATGGTGGTTTTTGGGGGCGAGGCAATTGAAACACCGCGCTTTACTTGTAATTCCAAAAATTAAAAAATATTTGTATACTTTATATTGGTACTATTTTAAATTTTATTCGTTTATTCAAATTTAATCCACCTAAAATTTTAAATGCGGTGTTGTTTTTTAATAAATAAAACCATTGTAATTTGTTTTGTTTACTGAACAAAGATATGAATCTTTTTTTATGTTTTATTTTAAGTTAAAACATGAGTCGTTCTAACATGCCTGTGTTCATGACTTCTGAAACAGCATTAAGCGTAAGCCAGTATTTAAAATTGCTTACATCGGATATTGATGAACTTCAAGTTTGCATCAGACCACCAATTTTGGCGAAACCATCAGAAATTTATATTTACAAAAATGCTGTCAGTAAGGAAGATTGGAGGGCTGATAGATATAGATGGGATAATTATGGTGACAAGCTCCTGCCCAAACAAGATCCTATGATTAGAGCAATGTACTTTAAATCGTTTGTAGTTGGATTAAAATTCGTCAAACGAGCATATACTCTTCTTAAAAATGGCAAACGTGATGAAAATGCGTCTATAGTTTTAATCCATTATTTGGGTTCATTAGAAGGCGTTGAAGACATGCCTCATGGGAACCGTAAGATAACCAATGCAGCAGACAGTGTTATTCCTTTCTGCACAATTATCTGCTCAAAAAGAACCGTTAAACATACGACCTAAGGAAGCCTACCGAAAATATTTAGCTACTGCAGCAGACGAGCAACCAACCCTACAACCGGTTATGGCACCTAAAAATTATAAACAAGTCGCTAATACCATAGCTCGTGAAAGGCAAAAAAGTCTCCTGTCAAATGATGACATTTACGGTTTATTTTTGCTGAATGAAGAGGTACCACAATATATTCACCTAATGCAGCTCATACCATACTTTGCAGTTGTTTTGTTTACGTCAAATATGATGACGTTATTTTTGAATGTTTGTAATCTTCCAGAGGTTGTTCTTCACTATGATACAACTTTTAATATTGGAGATTTCTATTTGTCAATATTAGTCTTCCAGCATCCAATTTTTGAAAATGGTCGTACTATTCCTTTAGCTTACCTCATGCATCACAAAAAAACTTATGAAGTGCATAAACTGTTTTTTGAAACGTTTAAGTCGCATTTAAAAAATGAAACTTTTGAGATGAAAATACTAACTGATAGGGAGGCAGCAATCACCAAAGCAATTAGAATGGTATTACCTGAAAGCAAGTTATTTTTCTGTTGGAACCACATAATACGCGATGTCGAGTACTGGTTAAAAACTAAAAAAAATTCAGATATCGGTAATGTTATGGTGTACAAAAATAATGTGTGGGATTTATTAGATAGTGACACAGAATTCGAATTCCATAAGAAGTATAACAAACTGTCATTAATGTGGAGTCAACAATTCAAAGATTATTTTCAAAAAAATTTATTTTATGACATTTTAACTAGCGCTAAGTGGGTTCTTAATGATCCTTCGATAAATATTTACGAAGAAAGGACTGGAATAACAAATAATCCTTCCGAGAGCTTTAATGCGGTCCTGAAGCGACTATTCCAATCAGAAGTTCAAGCACAAGTGTGTGCGGTGTCCATATATCAATTAAGCTTACATTACGAAAAGGTAATTTGTCGAGGTATGTGCAAATTAGGTGAATACCAGTTGAAAAGTAAATACGTAAAGAAGTTTTTCATGAAGCCTGAAGATATGGTGTATCCTGATATAGTGATTGATTTGAAAAATGTCCCATACTGCTTTCTAAACAAGGATAATTATATAAATCCTGAAGAAGATAAAGAAAAGGTGTCCAGTGTGTTTTCTTTAGCTAAAATGCTTATTTTGGAAAACAAAGTTAAGCATTTACCACAAGATGGTATGTTTCTGGTTGGTAATGAAAAGTATGCCGTAAAGTTGAACCCGGACAGTTGTACGTGTAAATTAAGAAAAAAGTGTCACCATATCGAAGCTGTGAAGATATCATGTAATTTCATTAACATCAAACAGGATCAAGTAAAATTGCGGACACTTTTAAGAAAAACTCGTGGCGTTCGTTCAGGTATAAAGAACGCACCAAAAAATGTAACTATAGTGGAAGCATCCGACGATTCAGAGCTACTTAATGTTTCACTAAACAGAAACACAAAAAATGATTTTATATTAGTTCCTACTTCTGTAAAAGGTAATAAAGTCGTAAAAAAAAGGTTAGTGGTTTTTGGAGAAAACGACAACAACCTCGTTAACGATGATATAACTGTAACGCCACCGAAACATTTCTCAACGCCTGTTACAAAATTTAGGATCAATACTACAAAAAATCAGGCAAGTTTTGAACAGCCCACAGGTTTGAAAAAAAAAAGCAAACAATCAGAGTTTGGGGAATTATACAAGGAGTATTACATTTTCGGTCGAAGAATTTGTCGAACTCATTTGGTTGCCTTAGATAGACAAATTTCAACCGTATTGAACATCAATGAACTTTATATCTATGGTCAAACAATATGTGTATACCTCACAATACTTTCAAGAGAAGAAGATAGGTCAGTGAATTTTTTCGTATGTGAAGATTTGTATATGAGTAACTATTCAGAAACTCAAAATAGTCATATGAACGAAACGATTCTGCAGGTAGGTTTGGAAGAATTCCTGAGTTACCAAATACCAGAGTACGATATTGTGCTTATGCCTGTTACTAGGAACGAGCATAATATTTTGATAGTGGTCTTAACGAAGTCAAAGACTGTGTTGTATTTGGATAGTTTTCATAGTAGTATTAACTTACAACAAATCAGCCTGGCCCTTAATTACTTAAAAATGTACGAAGAATTTCACAATAGGCCATTTTCTATTGACCAGTATAAGGTTTATGTTCCGAATGTTCCTCAACAGTACAATGGATACGATTGCGGTGCATTTGCATGCATGTTTGGTGAAGCAATCATTAAAAGCAGCATAGATGCATGTAATTTTGTCGAAGGTGAAAACTTACTGACATATCGAAAAAATATTAAAGAAAAAATATTGGGATACATTAATAACAACGTTGAAACTCAAGGGCCAAAGTTATTTGATTATGATAAACTTAAGTTCAAGAATTATCGTTTACAATTAAACGTAGAATCATATTCAGACGTTGAAATAATTAGAGGTACTCCATATGAGGTCAATCCGCTAGACTATTTAATGAATATAGCATTCGACTATTGGGACAGTGTAATATGTGCCATGGAGAACAATTGCAAGGATCCGCTGAATACCTCTAAGTCATATAGTCATGTCGACTGGATCTATTGTGGAGTTGGACGGCACTGGTATCATTTAATTTGTCTTGAAATCGAAAAGGAATATTTACCGGAAGTTTATGTTTGTGATATATGTAATAAGTAATAACCAATTTTAATATAGGTTAAGGTCAACCTAAAATATTTTTGTAAATATTGTTACTTTTATTTTACATTATTCACCAAATTAGTACTATAAATAAATTTTAATTAATAATTTTTAATGTTCAATTAGAAACTTTAAGATTTATGTTTTAGTTTTAAAAATTGTATACGTATACTAGAACTGTATTAAAAAGAGATAACAGCAGTAGGCTGAATGATTTTCAGATATTTTATTTAATTTTTTAACGTTATAATTACTTATAACAATTATTTACTGATATTTAATTAAAAAGTGATGTCTAATATTCTGAAGTGTTATAATGATAATTTATCAAGTAAGTATCCATTCAACTTATGACCATTCTTTTCATTTTTATAAATAAAATTTGTTTATTGTTTTTACTTATTGCATTCAAAATTGTATTCAATTAAAACTTTATAATGGGTACGTGTTGTACTTAGAATCATGTTATCATATATATGTAATAATCATAGGAGTGACTGTAAGTATTGCTTGGTACACATAGATTCAAAATTAGCATCCTCAAAAATTAAACTAAATATATCAGATTATAAATTAAAATTATTCCTATGAAGCTTAGGTACATAGACTATTTACAAAATGGTATTGATGTAGTACCAAACTTCACAATTGAACGATATTAAATATGAAAAAACATAGACAGTATTTACCTTCATTGATTACGTACCCAAGTATGTCCCTTACAAATTTCAACCCGGTCGGGGAACGAGTAGCCCGGGTCGGAGAAAAAAACGACATTTTTTTAATAATTTTTTCACCCTGTATGGAGGGTAATGGTGGTAGGCAGCTGAACTTTGGACACATAATTGATTACGTTCCTAAGTATGTCCCTTACAAATTTCAACCCGGTCGGGGAACGAGGAGCCCGGGTCGGAGAAAAAAACGACATTTTTTTAATAATTTTTTCACCCTGTATGGAGGGTAATGGTGGTAGGCAGCTGAACTTTGGACACATAATTGATTACGTTCCTAAGTATGTCCCTTACAAATTTCAACCCGGTCGGGGAACGAGGAGCCCGGGTCGGAGAAAAAAACGACATTTTTTTAATAATTTTTTCACCCTGTATGGAGGGTAATGGTGGTAGGCAGCTGAACTTTGGACACATAATTGATTACGTTCCTAAGTATGTCCCTTACAAATTTCAACCCGGTCGGGGAACGAGTAGCCCGGGTCGGAGAAAAAAACGACATTTTTTTAATAATTTTTTCACCCTGTATGGAGGGTAATGGTGGTAGGCAGCTGAACTTTAAACACATAATTGATTACGTTCCTAAGTATGTCCCTTACAAATTTCAACCCGGTCGGGGAACGAGGAACCCGGGTCGGGAAATTTTGTTCCGTTCAGCAAAATCTGGGTCAGTAAATTAGTACGTCCCATGACGAGATGAATGGTGATACGTTTTACGAGTAGTTTGTACGTATTCTACCTTTATTAAAAGAAAACGCCGTCATCGTTATGGACAATGCTTCCTATCACTCCGTGAAGAAATATCAAATGCCAACCATGAGTTGGAAAAAACAGAGAATAATAGATTGGCTTGAGTGTAAAGGTGAAATCGTGATCCATCCAATAGTCAAAATCGATTTAATGAAAAAAGTGCGAAAACTGAAAAAACAATACGAAAAATACGTCATTGATGAATATGCAAAAGACAACCATAAAATCGTATTGCGATTACCACCATACCACTGCGAGCTAAATCCAATTGAGCTCGCGTGGTCCTCCGTAAAAAATTACGTCCGGACTCACAACAATACATTTAAATTAAAGAACGTACTTGATTTATTGAAAAAAAGGGGTGGACCATGTAACACCAGAAATGTGGACTAATTTTGTTGGACATGTCGTAAAAGAGGAAGACAAGTTTTGGAAAATTGAACATTTAACTGATGAATTATTGGACGAAGAACCCAATGACGGACGTCATATTCTTACGATAGGAACAGGTGACACAAGTTCTTCATATGTAGACTCCGATTAATTTATTATATTTAAATTATTTTGATTTTTGTTATCATTTAAATTAATTTTTGTATTTTTTTTGTATTTAAATTTTTTTTTGGTATTCTAATGTTTTTTTTTTTACTAAATGGGTATTATGCGATGTACAATTACTCATTTTTGTTAAAATACAAAAATAATTGCATAAATAAAATATTGATAATTCATGCATATCAGATTTTGAATTGTTGTTGTTTACGGTATAGATACGCCTGACTCCAGGTGTTATTATTTTCATGGTGTTACTTGAGCCTGTGTATACAACCGCCGGTTGCTACACTTCGGCGGCGGCCAAGGAATTAGCCGCCGGTCGCCGCGTACCGAGTGGGGGTGTTTACGGCGGTAACTAGGTGATAGAGTGGGAGAAATTTGGGTACGAAACCGCGGAGCTTGGTCATTTGGATGCGCGAATGAGTAGCGCTCTTAAAGTGGCCCGAGTATAGTTATTATATTTACCTGAATTATAAATGAAATGAATTATATGAATCATATATATCTCTGTCGGTTTTATCTTGTATGAGTAAAATGGTACATTTATTACAGGATATGATGTATTAAAATGAATAATAGTCAAATATGCACGACATTTCGCACACCGACTAAATTGACTATATATTTGCAGACCTTTAATAGCCTGAAATTGACGGTGAAATCCCTTTAAATGGATTTGACAATTATTGTTTTCATCGTCAATTCGCAAACAAGACAAGGAACAATAGTGTGTCGGTACTGATTTCAGGTTTGTACTTAAATAAATTTCTTTAAGTATAAAATTAGAATTATTTAACTTGAATAAATCTAATATTTCCTGTTCATCATATGCAAATGAAGATGCCATACATCGGACCGTTTCATATGAAATAATTGGTTTCTGAACATTCGGATCTACATCATTTGGAATAGTCATCCTTCTAATGAAAAAAAAAAGATATTTAGATTAAATCAGCTAGCATTGACTATAATAATTTATTGCTGACTAAAATGGTTATATTATTTTATAAATTGTAAATATCAAGTTAATTTTTAAAAAAATATTATTTAAACTATAATTGTTATGCTAATATAAATTAAAAAAAAAAAAACCTAACCAGTCGGGGAATGCCAGTAGAAGTGAAAACTAGAAGAGTACATGTATATATGATAGTCATAAATCATACTTTTATCAACTAGAAACACTGAAAATTTTTCTGGATTTCTTGATGATTTTAAAATAAGTTCTATATAGTCTTCTAAAGTGTATAGACGATCCACTCTGTTCAGTTGTTTTTTTATCAATGCAAAGTCACGATCACACGGCAAAAACGAGTGTCCTATTTGTGGAAAAAACACCTGAACTTTTTTGAATTTTTTAATTTCAACTAGAGGAATAATCATTCTGAGTAATGCGTGGTTTTTGTTTTGCCCAGCACAATTGTCACAAAACAAATGCAATTCCTCAACATCATATTACAATATTTATAGTAACATGTCTGATTGTTTTTTAAATTTTTAAATACTTAATTAATGAAATTACATTACGTACCTGATTTTTTCGTTGCAAGTTAAGTTGGGCCGCACTAAAAAGGGTTATTGGCTTTTCCAAGACTAATGTCTTTTACTTTGACATTATTACCCCCATGCATTTTCATTTCATGTTTACGTCGATAATCATGGTCAAACGAACTTCCACATGACAAACATTCGACCTTAGTGCTTTTGCGTTTTTTTTTATTATTGTCACACATATTTAAAAACGTAGTACTATTATACTAATAATATTTTAAAATGTAAACGTATAAATGATTAAGACAAGAGCACTTTCTAGCGAGACGACGTATGATTTATGAAGTACTGTACGTCTGTACTATACTGAACGTAAGAATGTAAGATATTAAACAACTATGATTATAAATTGTTTCATGATAATAACTATTACAATATTATGTTCAGCAAGCTGTTCATCAAAAATATTACTATGTCTATTTTTATCGTCAGTATTGCGTTAACGGTGAGTGGTAAATACGTTCTGCCAACTGCCAAACGGCGACCGTTTGCTATCCGGGTTCAAGGAAATACGTTTATTTAGCCCGTATAACGTATAAAATACGTATTACATCATACATGACGTTTTTAATACAATAAATGTGAAATGTCGATATTAATTTTAGCTGCAAGACACGGGCAAAAAATCATCACATTGGCCCATTAAACTTAAAATAGAACATATTTTTAAACTATGGTTTATTTTCATTTTTATTTATTTTTGTATTTTTATATTTTATACATATTTTTGTTGTATTTGACAATGTGTTAATGTGGCGACTGAAATATTAGGTTAAATGAGTGAGGGGTCGTGACGACCCCTTAAACCCCTCTCGCTCCGGCCCTGAGTGTTGTGAAACGGACTATAGTACACACTACACGTGAACACTGAATCACATAATTGACCACACGGTATCGACCAGTGTACACCAGTGTGTGCTAGTACAGTCAGATGTTGAGGTTAAGTTACAAATATTATCAATAATAAGGAGCCCTTAAAACCTCAAAAAATGTTAACACTTTATCCATGTTTGATAAGCCCGATATTTTTTTATCTTATCTATATAAATCTATGATACAGCAGTTTTTTATACTGTGGATAGTCGCGTAATTATAACGTATTATTTATTTTATTTAAACATAACTTAACAAAAAAAGAAAACAGCTTATGTGGTAGTAACTAAAAGTGAAAGTTGAGAAACCGTCTTTAAACCACTACTTTAATTCTAATGGTTTTTATTTTATATGATATGATGAAATATCTTTAAGTTTGTAAGCACGGTTTTATATAGAATTTCTATCTAAAGTCATGCCTACATGATATAACGTTCATAGTAATATTATAAAGCTATATTATCATTACAACGATACATTGTTATTATTCTATTTTATTTAATTTTTTTTTATTTTAAAAAAGAAGTTTAGATGTAAAATTTAATAAATAACAATATAAAAATAGTACTTACATAGCTTGTGGAAATTGAAGTATTTTTTCTAAGTATGATGGTTTGTTACAGTTGTTTTGACTGGTTGCTATTTGTTAAAGAGGTCAGGTAATCTGCTAGCTGACTGTTGGTTGGCGAAGAAGGCTGTTCTGCTGCTGACTGCTCTTGGAACTGCTGTGGACTGCTGTTGCTTGAACTGATGACGATAAGCTAAGAAATTCTGTGTTTTATACCCGAAAATAGTCCCTTCTGTTTACCTGAAAATAAAATAATCATGCGATATTACACCGCATCATAATAGTAGACTGATTATTAACTGCAAACTGACATTTTTTTTTTTCATTATAATGTAAAAGGTATTAAAATTATAAATTTAGCAGCATTTATTTTATTTATATCTAATCAGACCAGTTTACCTAAAAATAAAATAATCATGCGATATTACACCACATCATAATATTAGACTGATTATAAACTGCAAAAGGGCATTTTTTTTTTTTGCATTATATATAAAAAATTATTTAAAGTTAGCATAGGTAATCTGATCATGCAACCTCTATGTGCAATTTAATGTGGAAAGCCTAAAACAAAATGAGTACACTGCATTTATTTTATTTATACCTAATTATCTGACAATAATACATAAGCCGATGATCACTTTACACACTCACACAGCCTTATTAGATTGTATATAGACAGTCGACATACATTGATTATAGACAGTGTTAAATCTCAAAATTAACTATTGACTTGATGCGTCTTTGCTTCACACCGTTACAAGACTACATAACAAGTAATATACTTTGATCTGGTATAAGTTTTAAAAACTAGTATATTAAAAATTTTAACTTACAAATTTTTATTTAAGGTAAAAAAAATATGTCTTCATATACCAATGTTACTGGAGAAAGCTCGTCAAACGAAGATGTAAGTATTCCCAATTGATTGTGTATATATATATTTAATAGATACAAAACAGAATTTTATATTTATATTATTGATATTTTATTAAATATCAAAAATACTAAAAAATAAAATAATCACAATTTAAATGTATAATCTGTTTTATTAATATTACAAATTATAAAATGTATATTTAATGATTGTTTAATACAATTAGTAAATAAAATAATTAATCTTGTTTCTATTTTTACAATAATATTGATAATTTTTATTTATTATTAATGGTATAAAGTTTAAAGAGTAAAAACAAATTGATATATTATACTATAATACTACTGCTGTCTGATCGCCACATTATATTTTAATATCATTTAATATTATATCTGATAAAGAATTATTGTAGAATTGAAGTATTTCATATATAAAACTGAAATCATCGTTCTGTACAAAACAATTGCTAAAATCAAAATTTTGTATGTACTGGTTTGTAAAATCATTTCGCTGACAAGATAATGGTAGAATATTAATGTTTGCTTTAATTAATGAATACACTGTATCAAAAATTGATTGATATGAAACCAACTTTTTCTGCTTTTCAACAATATACGAATCAATACATTCTTGTAATTCTTTTATCCGGTAGAGATCATTATATGATAACGTGATAAATTGGTTATTAACATACAATTTGATAGTAAACTGATTTAAATTAACTGAATAATATATGCTATCTGTTATTTTTATACGTTTACTATTATTAGTATGTAGATTATTAGTTATTGAGCTATAAATTGAATCTGAAATTAGTGTATACCACTATTAAATCGATCATTAGCATTTTTTTTGCGAAATTACATTGGAGTAATATAATAACAGTAAACATATTTTTATCAACCAAAAATCCAACAGTTACACTTTTCTTGTTAAGAGGTCGCATATCGATTACTGACTTTGAAACAA